GTATAGGTCTTACAACTCGTCCCAGTCGCCCTTCATTCTTGCAGATGTCCAACTCGATACACATTTGTACGATGTCAATGTCAGTCCAGACAAGCGAACCATTCTCTTGCATGATCAGAATCACATGCTAGACTCAATTCGTGCAGCTCTAGTTGAGATTTTTGATTCGCAAGACTATACTTTACCGACCTCCCAAGTATTAAGATCTCGTAATGCACAGGCTGATAAAACTACACTCATCTCACCCTTGGAACAAATTTCATCGGCGGGTCAAGCCACCCACTCCAAGAGAATCGTTCAGTCCTGTTCAGAGGTCTCGGAAGGCTCCGGAGATGAGAGGAGCTCATCTGAAGATGATGAAGGCAGCGACTCTCTTGGACGGGGTCAGAGGGAAACAAAGACTACAGTCGTTCCAAAGCCTATGACAATTAGAAAAGTCAGGAATACCCTTGATGTATGGGTCCACGGACGAACAGCGGTCATTTCAAAAACTGAAGAGGATGAAGACGCCAAATCCCAATCCTCAGATGCTGACCAAGAAAGCGCACATGCAGCCCCATTAAGGTCCGTTGCTGGAAATAATATCAAATCACTTTCTCGTGATGCCGAACACTCTAATCGGCAACCATCAGATAGCGATACCAATCAAGAACCCAGGAGCACCAAGCCCGCATCCGTGTTGCAGCTATCAAGGTCCAGTTCACCATCAAGTCCGGCAAACGATGAGCCTACGATTCCCTTCGTCAAACTGGTTAAGCCTATCCGTGGGGGGGGACCTGTATCTCCACGTCGGCATTCAACAATGAAACGCCCACCACCACAACCAGCCAAGATATTTATTGGTGCTACAGGAGGGGATCTCGAGGAGATTGGGAGTGAGCCTAGCTCAGATGAGGGAGATAGCCAACATAGCAAAGACCAGGCATCAGATGATGAACCCGATAACGATAAAGACAACGAGGAGGACAGCGACGACAGCGACGACCACGATCACGACCACGAAGGTGATGATGATGATGATGATGACAGGCCGACGTTCGGGACTACCCTCTCTCAACGATTTTCTGCGGGTAGAATCAACAGACAGCGCTCCCCTTTAGTTCCCAAAACGCAACGCCAGGTGGGCCCAGACACGTCTACAACTAAAACCAGGAGAGGCCCAGGCTCCAGAAAGGGAGGCGAGCAGATCCTCGATGATGAAAACTCATCGGCCGCAGATCCTGTACTTTCTCCACGGTCAAGTTCATCTGCATCTGCGGGAGACAATACAACGAAGCCATTACACGATCCCTCAGAGAATGATAACGCGGCAAGTACGAGCGGATCTTCAGTTCCTCGGGCGCAGAGTCTCCAATTTAGCACAAGACGAAAGGATGCCACATTACAATTGATTCATCACGTCTCGGGTGGGGAACATGTTATTTGGACTACCCTAAGTTCCCGGCCATTAATCAGACCTCAAGATTCGTCCCCTTCTGACACTCCCCAACAACAGCAACAACAGGTGGAAGACATCGGTGCGACCGACGCCGAGTCTAAGCTCTCTCTCATCATATCAAAGTCTGATTTCGCAAAAATGAGAATCGCTGGTCAATTTAATCTTGGCTTCATCATTGCCGTGCGGCCTGCAGAGAACGACTCCCAAACTCCGGGTCCATCAGCCCATGATGAACTATTCATCATCGATCAGCATGCATCCGATGAGAAGTATAACTTTGAGAGACTGCAGGGGAGTACTGTGGTTCAATCACAAAGGCTTGTTCATCCCAAGTTACTCGAACTTACCGCCCTAGAGGAAGAGATAGTGATGCAGAATATAGAGGCTGTAGAGGCCAACGGTTTCAAGATTGCAATAGATGTTGACGGAGGTGCACCCGTCGGATCGCGTTGCCAGCTTACGGCTCTGCCCCTGAGCAGGGAAACAACATTTAGCATCACTGACCTCGAGGAGCTGATTGCTCTGCTTGCCGATGAGTCGGCTGAGTCAACGCATATCCCACGTCCGTCGAAGGTCAGGAAGATGTTTGCCATGCGAGCATGTCGCAGTAGTATCATGATAGGAAAGGCCCTCACAAGACACCAGATGTACTCGTTAGTTGGACACATGGGCGACCTAGACAAACCTTGGAACTGTCCCCATGGACGGCCGACTATGAGACATCTGTTTAACATAGATAAGTGGGACGGGGTGGGCTGGAAGGGTGATTTAGAGACGAGGTCTACAACCTTGTGGGCTGCTTACAGGAGGGGAGAGTAAACTATTGGCTTGGTTCATTTGCATTCGTATACCTTTCTATTGCCACTTGTTTTCATATACATATGCAGGTCCCTTTACGTTCACGGGGTTCCCAGGCACGGCTAATTTAGTATTATGAGAATCACTTATTGCCTTTTTGAATATGACACCAAGCTATAAAACCAAGGCAGGAGTCTAATAAAGCAATCTATGATTGCGGACCATAGCTAAAGGCCCCTTCCATCTCTGAGTTATTATAAATGCAAACTTCACTAGAATAGCCTAAATGCCGTAAGCCAAAGCCGCCATTGTTCCTTTCAACGCCCAAAGTCAAGCAAAGGAGAGATGATAACCTGACCTTTCATCGGAAGTCTCTCAACCAAACAATTAACCAGTCCAATAATCCTTACATACACGAAAATCCGAATCCGAAACATAGGGCACATAAATACATCGCAGCGCATGACAGAGAATCCCCAACCGTAAGCTTATGTAACTTGTTGTGTAATTTTTTTTTTCGTTTTTCTTCATCCCACCCATCTCAGTTTTTTTTGTTGGAGTAGAAACCATACTTGCTGAGCCGGCTATCACCTGCTCGGCCCTCCTCAGCAATCTTTCCACTGACATTGCGACGGCCATAAGCCTGAGAGGTGTTGGACTCGAAATCGTTGCCAGACGAGATCTTTCGATCAGCTCCAACCATGATGGGAGGTGTCGCGCTCTTGAGGTCTCCATAGGGCTTGGAGTAGAAACCGATGGTGTGTTGAACGGGTGTGTACTTTCTTGGCTGCCATGTTTTCCTCTTCGGCGACGTTGAGGGAGAAGGCGTTTGCTCAGTTATGTCTTGGCTCGCGCTGGCTTTTCGCTGATTATGGCTAATCTCAGACAGGGACGTGGATCTTTGTAATGCGGTCTCAGTCGCACCCTCTGACGGAGCATGGAAAGGCCAGTTCAGCTCATTCTCTTTAGCGTGCGATAGAGCCTGGGGGTTTGATCCGAGCGGGTTGGGATGTCTATGTTGTTTGGCCAAATCCACTTCCTCTTGGTCACTGTCATGTGCGTAGGTGTGGTAATTCTCATAATCCGACTCCGAGTCTTCATCACCATAGTAGCGTTGCTCCAAGGCAGCATAAGTATTTCTATTGTCCTCGCGCATTGCCACTGCAGCATTGCGGTTCTTCTGGTTTGTCCTTGAGATTAAAGAATCAGTTGGTACCCATGTTTCGGTAAATTTGGCAACTCTGCGTTGGTGATCGCCCCCTTCTTGAGAGGATGAAGATGTTCCTAAACGAGGCGGAGCAGCAGAATCATCCTGGAGAGGGAGCTCTGAATAAGATCCACGTTGGCTGGGCAAGGAGCGAAAAGAGGGGAGCTTTGTATTGTGCGAAAGAACGGAGCCTCGCCTCAGGCTGTCCTCTTGATCCAGCGAACCTTGAAGGTCCCGAGACATGCGAGCAGCGGTCAAAGAGGTGCGGGAGCCTTCACGGGTATGCAAAAAGGGAATAGACGTTGGACGAGATACATCAGACCTTGCTACAGATTGGCGACGAGAGTCTGGGCTGTAGGGTGTTGACATGCGCTTCTCGTTGGTGTCGCTAGTGAGAGTCGTCATGGATGACTTGTTTCTCTTATGGAAGGGGCGAGCTGTGAGATGGTCCTCCAACGGGTTCATGTCAGGCGGCATCAGACTAATTTGTCGGAATGCATAAGCCAGCCAGAGTGATATGGCCAATGTCAGGAAGTGAAGGCCACCTGTTCCGATTAGGGTGTAATAGATTGCTGGAATGAAATACTCCAGAAGACCTTGGTCTGACAGTCGGGTAGACCATCCCGCAGAATCATTATGAACAGTGAAGGCTGAGTAGGCGTACAGGCCAAGGGTACACATATCTGCAACACCGGAGAAGAGCTGGTACGCAGATGAGGAGGAAGGCGGACGGCTCGCCGCATCACGAGATAGATGATAGATGGCGTAACAGCAATTGAGAGCCACAATTCCCGGCTTAGAAAAAAGCAAGTTAGTCCATGTGCAACCGAAGGGTTCACCATTTGCTATAGAAGCTGCTGCTCACCGTGATTCTCATCACCAAGGCTGTTACAGTTTCGATCTTGTCAAGTAGAACCATCAAAACCAGAACACCGAGTGCCCCATTGAGCTCGAGGGCACGCAGGAATAACTGTACTCGTCGCAAATAGCGGATGGCCTTCTTTGTCCGAGGTCCCATAAGTTTATAGTTGCCAGATCGATGTTGCAAAACCATGTGGGCACTGGAATGTCGGGTCAGAAAGAAGAACAAACAAGTCGATCGGGATGAGACCCCAAGAGGTGGGGTTCATTGAGGAGCAAAATAAACATACTCGGGATGGCGATTGAACGAAACCAAAGGCCCCTTGGGCTTGGGTTTCCTGGGTTTGGGTTCCCAACTGGCACGCGTAACGGCCTTTGGGTCGAACGTCGCCTCGTACGTATCGCCCTGGAAACCCTGCAAATATGGCTGCTGCGCCGGCATGGCTGCTTTCCTGGTGGCGACGACGGGGTAGAGTCGTTGATAGGTATATGGCTTCTGAAAGGGCGGCCTGGGCCGTAGTTGTGTCTTAAATCGCAAATCGAGGAGCTGGTGAAGAAGCTATTGACTGGAATGCTGGCAGAACGCCAGCCGAGAGACTGGGGATGGGAAGACGAGAGTCGGGAAAGTTGTGAGCCAAGTAAGGCCCAGCAGCAGCGAGCGAAGCTGGAGGGGCAGTGAGAGCAACAAGTGAGCGGATGAAGCAGTACACTCGCGCTGTCGAACTGACGCTTGCTGCCTGCTTCGGACGGCTGGTAAGTAGGGACTGTTTGGAATAGTTTAGTATGGATGAAATGGGAAGAAGATCCAAAACCAATGAAGAGCCAATGTCGCAGTCAGGTAGGTAGCAACGTCCCGTCCCGCATTGGGTGAGTGTGGGTGGGTAGGGTGGACTGAACTGGGCTGAGGTGAGCTTGGCCGCACATGTTTAGTTTACGGCTTCCAAATTGGGCCAGCTCTGCCACCGCCGCTGGTCGCCACAGCAACAGTGGATCGTCGAAGACCGAGCTGCCGGTCGCCGAAACTGCTCCGACCAGGATAGGAAAATGGACGAGTTCGGGGACCAATCAGGAAAGCTGAGTCTCAGTTAAAGATGCCATTTCAGGCCCATTCAAAGCTGGTGATTGAAAGCTGCGTATCTCCATCTTCTTCACTCTCTCTCTCTGCGCGCAGAGGTCGGGCGGCTTTCCCAGCCAATCCACCACCATGTCCTTGCTTGCCGGATCCAGGACAAGTTGGCGCGTTCGCCATTGGAAACCAATCGAGCGAAGAGGTCATGAAAGATGTAAATATCTATCTACTGCGTCCCGGGCACCTCGTAGCTCAGATACATCCTCGCCGTTCCGGATGGCTATCGTGGGCTCTGGTCCCGCGGGCTTTTACACCGCATCCCGCGTCCTGAGCAAACTACCACAGGCCAAGATCGATATGTACGAGGCTCTTCCTGTTCCCTTCGGACTTGTCCGTCATGGCGTTGCCCCAGATCATCCAGAGGTCAAGGTCCGTTTGTTTCCCCAAGTAGAGTATCATCCGTGAGCGTTGCAGCATGGCTGACAAACGCCTTCGATGAGTAGAATTGCCAGGATAGGTTTGACGAGATCGCCTCGTCTCCCAACTTTACATTTGTAGGCAATGTGACAGTTGGCGATTCTGATCAGTCCGGCAGGCATTGCACTGTAGAGCTCCCGTCTCTCATGCGTCACTATGATTCAATTCTCCTCGCCTACGGCGCCGCAGAAGACAAGAAACTGGGCATCTTTGGGGAGTCCACACTGACCGGTATCTACTCTGCTCGTGAGTTTGTTGGTTGGTATAACGGTCTACCCGACTGCGCCAACCTTCATCCAGACTTGACTCGCGGTGAGGATGCAGTGATCATTGGCCAGGGCAACGTGGCGCTGGACGTCGCTCGCATGCTTCTGGAAGATATCGATACCCTCAGAAAGACAGATATAACCGAGCATGCCCTCTCGCGTCTTGCTGAAAGTCGAGTAAAGCGTGTTCATATTGTAGGAAGAAGGGGGCCTATGCAAGTGAGCGACTTTCCTCTTTACCATTTCATCGAGCCATTCCTTCGAGAAAAGCACTAAACGTCACGTGTTAGGCCGCCTTCACAATCAAGGAAGCTCGTGAATTGATGAAGCTTCCAGATGTAGCTTTTCATCCCGTGAATCGAACTTTGATCCCACAAGATCTCAAGAGCCTACCACGCGCGTCTAAGCGACTAATGGAGGTCCTGTTGAAGGGTACTCCTGGCGCTGATCCTCTCGAAACTTCCAAGTCCTGGTCGTTAGACAGCTGCCTCTCGCCCAAACATTTTCTGGCTCGCTCAGACTCGCCTAATAGTGTAGCCAGCACGGAGTTTGACGTCACAACCCTCGCGGACCCATTCGATCCCAAGTCGCGTGTTGAGAAAACTGGAGAAGCGATTATCCTTCCTTCTGACATCGTGCTTCGTTCTGTCGGTTATAAGTCTATACCTTTGCCCGGCTTCATTGAAGCAGGCATTCAGTTCGATGAAATGCGAGGTATTGTGTGCAACGATGGTTTTGGGCGGGTGACCCGCCTGGTATCTGACAGTGATGCTAGCAGTAGGGCCAGCCAGCAAGTTCCAGGTCTATATTGTGCTGGTTGGTTGAAGAGAGGTCCAACAGGTGTAATAGCTTCAACAATGCAGGATGCTTTTACAACAGGAGATGCGATTGCCCAGGATTGGCTCTCGGGTGCCTCCTTCCTGGGTTCCCATAAGGAATTCAGTCAAGCTCATGGATGGGAGGGGGTGAAAGAGGAGATTGGACTCGACCAAGCAAGGCGAGTTGTGACTTGGGATCAATGGAAGATGATAGACACTCTTGAGCGAAGTCGCGGCGAGGCAAGGGGGAAGGAACGAGAGAAATTCACAAATGTCGCCGACATGCTGGCAGTGTTGGATTAAACACTCGTTGGCTAATGACGATACTTGCTCCTTCCTCATACCTGAGCCTATCTACAGACGAGGCAAAGAGCAGCTCACCCACAATGTACAACAGCATATAATGTAAAAAATTGACTAAACTTCATTTACACTCTATGAGCTCTTTACCTTCTCCGTCAGCTCGGGCACCTTTTCAAATAAATCACCCACGAGTCCGACGTCAGCCACCTGGAAAATTGGTGCATCAGCATCCTTGTTGATCGCCGCAATGACCTTGCTATCCTTCATACCAGCAAGGTGCTGAATAGCGCCGGAGATACCAACGGCCAGATAGAGCTGAGGGGCAACAACCTTGCCGGTCTGGCCGACTTGGAGACTGTTGTCGGCATACCCACTATCAACCGCCGCACGAGAAGCACCCACAGCAGCACCAAGGGCATCAGCCAACGGCAGCATCACACGGTCAAATTCCTCCTTAGACTTTAGACCCCGTCCACCAGACACAACCCGGCTAGCGGTTGCGAGATCAGGGCGGTCAGATTTGGCAAGGTCTTCCGACACCCATTCCGACGTAGAGTCGGCCTTGGGGTCTGCTCCTTCTTCCACGGCGCCAGTTCCAGACCCTGGGGCCTCAGCAGCGAAAGCAGTTCCTCGAATGGTGATGACTTTGACGGCATCTGTTGATTCGACGGTGGCAATTGCATTGCCGGCGTAAATAGGTCTAATAAACGTTGATTCGTTTTCGATACCAGTAATGTCGGAGACTTGCTGAGAATCCAGCAGAGCGGCAACACGAGGCAAAATGCTCTTTCCAAACGCTGTGTGTCCAGCGATAACATGTGTATAACCACCCTTCTTAATGTTCTCTACCAGTAAAGGCGCGTAGTTCTCGGGAAGGCCCTAAGAAGCAGAACCATTAGTTGGAATCGCTCACCGATTCGCACCGAAAAAAAGGCCCATAGTTAGGCAGAAAAAAGGTCTAGGAAGAATGATCACACCTTATCGTAAGCGGCGCTGTCCACCACTAAAATCTTCTCAACACCTTCAACCCTTGCGGCGTCTTGAGCAGCCGCGTTGATATTATTCCCAGCAATAAATCCATGTACGGTGCCTCCGAGCTGCTTTGCAGCGGTAAAGGCGCTCAAAGATCCATGGCTCAGCTGTCCATCTTTCTGCTCAAGAACAGCGAGGGTTGACAGTAGACGGCTTCTCGTGTAGGCACGGGAAATACTCACAGTCCTCCCTATGAGCCTGCCTTGTGCCAGGACGCATCTTCCGGTGGGTAGCATCATGAGCCGGGCCAAATTGTATTGTAATTCGGATTTCCAAAAAGGAACAAGAATTCTAATGCAGATTGGTGAGCGAGGCTGGCTATGCTGTTATGGGATCTAAGGACGGAGAGAATAGTTAATAGGCGACTTAACCTACCTACGGCTGGAAGCGGCCCGAGGTCTACTCCAGAGCAGCGGGACTCAGTTCCCGACCATCGGCGACTGTCACAAGCGCCCGTGCATGAAGGTACATTGAACAACAGGTCCGGGCGTCGTCTGTGTCACGTGCAATGTCACGTTTATTTATCACGTGCGTCTGCCTCAGGCGCAGCATCACTAGCCTTCGTAGTAGGTAAGCAAATCCACCTGCATTGCTGCTGTGAAGACAGAGCCTTGGATAGCAACCTGTGGAACAGCAGGGTCCCGTCGCGCCAAAATTTCTCCAAAACGCGACCTATCGAATCGCATCGCCAACCTCATCGGCATCGCGGAATCTTTCTACCGGCAACAATTCAAGCGTCTGTCGCATCTCGACCACTGATCCCCGTACCTCATCGACTGCCGGAGCCCGCTGTTTCGAGAGCGCGTTCAGTCGCGACTCAACATCCGCGCGCACTCGCCTACCTACCTATCTAGCCTTCCCCATTGCCCATCTGTCTACGCCCAAAAGTTGGCACAAACGACCACGACCGTGGTCCTCCTAATAGCTAATGGAGGATTCAACGACGTACGGCTCCCCCAACAATGGGGCATCCCCCGGCGACAATCCCATTCTTGCGCAGCCCCCTTTACAGCCCGAAACTACCACCGAAGGTGAAGGTATTTATTCACACACACTCATCCGCCTCTGAGCTATCTTCATCAAAGCGCATGTTGGCTCTTTAAAATGCTCTCTCTTGCTGACAAATCTTGATCCTTCAGATGTTCAGATGTCAGAGAACAACACGAATGAGCCTAACATCAAACAAGGAAGTGCAACCCCAGCGCCCGGCACCGTTTCTGGCAATCCTTTAGATGCACCAGAGGCGCCACAACCCGAGGCTTCTACCCGAGCTGATGAGGATATGGGTGACGCCCCAGGCGATTCAAAGGATGGCGCAGCCGCAGCAGCAGGCGGTGACGCAGCCAACCGAACAGAGGGACAGGAGATCAAGTCCAAGGAAAATGCTGAGTCGGCTGCGCGAGAGCATCTAATTTCCCAGACACATGCCATTGTGCTTCCCAGTTACAGCACTTGGTTTGATATGAACTCCATCCACGATATCGAACGTAAGGCCATGGCAGAATTCTTCAACAATCGCAACAGAAGCAAGACTCCTTCCGTATACAAGGATTATCGCGATTTCATGATCAACACTTACCGCCTCAACCCCGTTGAATATCTGACAGTAACTGCCTGCCGTCGTAATCTTGCCGGCGACGTATGCGCCATCATGAGGGTCCACGCCTTCCTCGAGCAATGGGGTCTAATTAATTATCAGGTAATGCCGAAACTCTGTGTCGATCGAGGTACAATTTCTAACGGGGCCAATCGTTGTTATAGGTTGACGCAGATCAGCGACCATCACACGTAGGTCCACCATTTACCGGTCACTTTAGGATCATATGCGATACTCCTCGCGGCCTCCAGCCATGGCAGCCCTCAGCCGACCCCGTTGTCTTGGAAGGCAAGAAGAGCCAGACCACAGATGAAAAGGCAAAGGCAACTCCTGCGAACAAGGGAGATCTAAATCTGGAGATTGGGCGAAATATTTACGAGGCCAACGCCAAGGGTACCCCAATCACCAAATCTGAAAGCAAACCCAATGGCGAGACGCCTGCCACCAATGGCGTCTCAGGCTCCGAAGATGCCACCAAAACACCAGTCGCCAAAGTTCAGTGTTTCATGTGCAGCACAGATTGCACCCGTGTTTACTATCACAGCACCCAGACGGACCCTACATCCAAGGCCAAGTACGACGTCTGCCCCGGTTGCTTCAATGAGGCACGTCTACCCTCGAACCACACATCGGCAATGTATACAAAAATGGAAAATCCTCGCTACACGGCAGTTTTGGACAGGGATGCGCCTTGGACCGACGCCGAAATTCTTCGCCTTCTTGAAGGATTGGAGAGATTCGATGATGACTGGAGCGAAATTGCAGATCACGTCGGAACTCGCACCAGGGAGGAGTGCGTTCTTCAGTTCTTGCAACTTGACATCGAGGAAAAGTACCTGGACTCGGAGGCTTCAGTTCACGCACCCACAGGACTCTCCATGCTTGGAACCCAGAATGGACAGCTTCCATTCAGCCAAGTCGACAATCCAGTCATGTCAGTTGTCGGCTTCCTTGCCAGCCTAGCAGATCCAGCCAGCACGGCAGCGGCAGCAAACAGATCAGCAGATGAGCTGAAACGAAATCTGCGCAAGCAGCTAGAGAGCAAGAAAGAAGGCGGAGACGACAGCATTCAGGATGACAAGCCCGCCAAGGAACAGGGCGATTCCATGGATGTCGATGTTGGTCAAGAATCCACCGATACTTCTCTGGCAAATACTAAAGAGGGTAAAGGGGCTGATTTGGCCTCCATTCCTCTTGCCTCGATGGGTGCAAGGGCAGCTGGTTTTGCGTCTCATGAGGAACGAGAAATGACAAGACTTGTTTCGGCTGCTGCGAACATCACTCTACAAAAGTTGGAGCTCAAGCTCAAGTACTTTAACGAGATGGAGGCCATTCTCCGCGCAGAGCGACGAGACTTGGAACGAGGAAGACAACAACTGTTCTTAGACAGGCTAGCCTTTAAGAGGCGTGTGCGAAATGTCCAGGATGGCCTCAAGGCCGCTGCTGCCCTTGGGGGAGAACAAGGTGCCCGCCTAGCCCATGAAGCGATGAACGAGGGCGACAAACTTGGCTTTCAGCCTGTTGCCGATGGGCAAGTGATACAGGCACTTGGCAACGAAAGCCAGATCAAGACTTTCGAAGCATAGAACAAAAAATACCTGAGGAGGCGAGTGAGGTGGTTCCATATATCCCTGATCTTTCCTTTATTAGTTGGTTTCCGGTATCCTTTGATTTTGTTTATTTTTGGTGCACCTTCCCCACGAATGAGGATGGTCTGATTTTTCATACGAGTCTGCAAGGTGGCGTCCAGGGGAGCTAGGAAATCAGAGGCCACAAGAAAGCACGAAAGGGGGGATGCGGCTCGTGATCTGGCGCTCAGCGCGCGTGAGGGGACGGAGAAAGCGCGTGTTTGATACTGGGCCAGGGATCAGGCTATCTCGCGGATGCCTGATCTGATGTCTGTAATAGAAGCCGCTGTACCAGTAGGACTAGGCGTTGTTTGGTTATATATGGATATGATTCACCAACTGTACGAAATTTCGCCTCAAGTGTGCCTATCTATTGCTAGTCGCCAGTAAGACGGCCGGGGCAGTAAAGTGCCGATCCTGTGACTTAGGTCTCTTGGAGCCCACTCCTTCAAACGTGCGGCAGGTGAGTATTAACAGATCGGTGGGAGCAGATCGAATGCTTAACACTGCATAGATAGGTACTTGTCGGTTATGGATACTGTGGAGAGCTCTTGTTTGGGTGGCGGTGGATTTACCTCGGTTCAGAAGTGGTAAAGGCAAGTTGAAGCCACGCTGTAGCCTCTTCCAACAGCCACGCGGTTCCTACCCACGCAAGCACCAGTGCACCATAGAACGAACGGATGAAACAGCTATCTTAAGGCAGGTGAACCCAAGCCCTTGCCAGGAGCAAGCCCGCCCAAAAGCCACGGGATAGGCTGCGATACCAGAAGGCTTGTAACAACTCCGCATATTGTGTCTTACATAGTCGCTTCGGATGATGAGGTACCTTAGAGCCTATCGAGGGGAGCAGGAGGGCACTGGCGTGATTTACAGATTTGCGAATTGTCGCCTATGGGGATGCTGGTAGGCATCTGAACCAACTTCCGGGCAGGGGAGGGGTGTGCAAGATTATCCTCACTCCTGCGACATAAGGCGAAGCTGTCCCCAAAGGTCTCAATCCGCAAGATGAAAATGCCTGAACAAGCAATGGGATGACTAACAGGCTTTCCGTAAAGTCAATCCCGAAACCAGGCTTGGGATCGTTGCAGCGTGCAATATTTGCCTCGGCTGAAAGGGGCCCCACCAAGATGGACCGGCGGCTCGGCCACTTCGCGAGGTAGTTGGATAAAACAACCCGGGGAAAATCAATGCACCCATCCATTCACCAAATGCCGATATTCAGGCTAAGGAGAGGGGTGCACATATACACACTGGGCAATTACCAACTGCTATAGGCGGATCAGAAATAAGATGGCGAAGCAGAAGGCAAAGAGCAAGCTGGCAGCGGAATTCAGGGAAGGGACAGCCAACAAACCTACCTACTGAACTTAAGCAGGCACCTCAGTACTACTAGGTAGGTAGGTAGGTACATGTAGGCACGAAGCATGATGCATTTAGGGCCTGGAGAGACGCCGCCAGTGGGCGCACAGCGGTCCCACCTCCCCGCAACGACCTTCTGGAGCAATTGCCGGGGGCTGGTACCGTGCTGTGCATCTCATCCTGGGGCCATTAGCAGGTGGCCTGAGACGCTCGCATGTGCGCAGTGCATGTGAGATGCTACCAACCAGCAAAACCAGACCGAAGACTTCCGGCAATCTAATATCTTCTGCGACGATGTCGGATGTCTAGGTGCATCCATCCACCTTCCACACGGCACACTTTACTACTGCTCCCTTCAACCGCACTCTTGAATTCCCACCCCTCCATCTTCCTTTCCTGACACTATAAAGCTGTGACCCCCCTGTCACAGGCCGCCGCCACGGGCCATTAAGCACCTCGGTATAATTCTGGTCGGTCTACTTAGACTGTTGTTTCTCCCATTGCGTCTCGGTCTTCCTTCAAAACCCGCCGCTAAATCTTGCCATGTTTCGCTCTCTTCGCCCTCTCTCCAGTTCCCTTCCTCTTGCCAAGGCAACGTCTGCGGTGAGTACGCCTGTTCCTTTCAAATACTTTCTTCTGCCCCTTCTCCCACCCAGAGTTGGAGACGGAGGTCGAACCCCGGTCCGCAAGCTTCCGAACTAACAGAGGCACGCCTAGCAACGATTCCGCCTAGCCGCCGCCGTCATGGCTCCCCAGAGACGAGCCAAGAGCTCCGTACCAGAAGGCTACGCCGAAGACAAATCCAAGGGCCTCACCCTCAGATTCCAGGATTCGTTGCCCAAGCTGCCAGTCCCAACCCTCGAAGAAACAGCGACCCGATATCTCAAGACCTTGCGGCCGCTCCTATCCGAAGCGGAACTTGCGAATAGCCGAGCTGCTGTCGAGGACTTCATCAAAGCCGGCGGTGTCGGATCCAGACTGCAGGAGAAGCTCGTCGCCAAGCGCGAGGACCCTGCCACGAAGAATTGGATATACGAATGGTGGAATGATGCTGCCTACCTGTCGTACCGCGACCCTGTCGTCCCCTACGTGAGCTACTTCTACTCTCACCGCGATGATCGCCAACGCCGAGATCCAGCCAAGCGCGCTGCCGCCATCACCACCTCGGTTTTAGAATTCAAAAAGCAAGTCGATTCGGGCACTCTCGAGCCTGAGTACATGAAGAAGCTCCCCATCTGCATGGACAGCTACAAGTGGATGTTCAACGCCAGCCGTGTTGCTGCTCACCCAGCCGACCACCCTATCAAGTATTCCCCCGACGAGCACAAACACATCATTGTAATTCGTAAGAACCAATTCTTCAAAATCCAGCACGAGGTTGCTGGTAAGCAGCTCAACACCTCCGAGCTCGAAGCCCAGTTTCGTCGAGTGTACGAGATTGCTCAGCGCGTCCCTGCCGTGGGTGCTTTGACATCAGAGAACCGTGATGTCTGGGCCGACGCTCGCAAGCTGGTTCTGGACTCCAGCCCCAAAAATAAAGTCGCTCTCGAGGCGATCGAATCTGCTTCCTTCGTCGTCTGTCTCGATGATGCCTCCCCAGTAACTCTAGAGGAGAGGGCTCACCAATACTGGCATGGCGATGGGGCCAATCGCTGGTACGACAAGCCCCTCCAGTTCATTGTGAATGACAATGGCACGTCGGGTTTCATGGGCGAGCACTCGATGATGGATGGGACGCCAACCCATCGCCTGAATGACTACGTGAACGATCTCATTTTTGGAAACAAATTAGATTTCTCTGACCCGTCAATTCGTTCCAATCTGCCTGAACCTGAGCTTGTTCAGTTCGAAATCAGCCCAGCCATCCAGTCAGAGATTGACCGGGCCACCAAGGACTTCAACGATGTTATCGGGCAGCACCAGCTGGCCGTACAGGCCTACCAGGGTTACGGCAAGGGCCTCATCAAGAAGTTTAAGTGCTCCCCAGATGCCTACGTTCAAATGGTTATCCAACTCGCGTATTTCAAGATGTATGGCAAAAACCGCCCAACCTACGAGTCCGCTGCTACGCGACGTTTCCAGCTCGGCCGCACAGAGACATGCCGCACAGTCTCGGAGGAGTCAGTGGCATGGTGCAAGGCAATGGCAGATTCCTCGGTTGATGGTAAGACCAAGACAGACCTTTTCCGCAAAGCAATTGCCGCCCATGTGGAGTACATCACTGCCGCCTCGGACGGCAAAGGTGTAGATCGTCATCTGTTTGGTCTTAAGAAACTTCTTGAACCCGGTGAGGAGGTTCCCGCCATTTACAAAGACCCTGCCTATGGCTACTCTAGTTCCTGGTACATATCCTCATCTCAACTCAGTTCTGAGTTCTTCAATGGGTATGGTTGGAGCCAAGTGATCGACGGAGGTTTCGGCATTGCCTACATGATCAACGAAAACAGGTGAGTACAAACAGTTTATGTCTAGGAATTTCTCTACAAGATCTAACGACTTACAGTATCAACTTTAATATTGTATCCAAGAATCTGGGCAGCGATCGGATGAGCTACTATTTGAATGAGGCTGCCGGTGATATGCGAGATCTTCTCATTCACTCTCTGGAAGCCCCCAAGTCCAAGCTATAGAGTAAAGGATTATAGTTCTGCTGCATTGTTAATCCACCACAGCAATCAGCAAGCTTACTTGTTTTGCAGCAATAGATTTATGGCCATTTTATTATGCATGATAGATCAGTTTCCTTTGGTCCTCAAGAATTGGTTGCAAAGATAAGACCCACCCACCGCGATTGGGATGTGGAAGGGGGGATCGCAACTTGTTACGATGAAAGCTCCCAACTGTATATAATCATGTCATTGTAAAGTTTTGAGGGTACATGGCATTGTAGATAAAATAGACGATCGACCCCTTGGCCACGCAGAGGAACGTTGACAACCCCAACTTCGCCTTCCAGCAGTCCTTTTAATGCGCAGGTGAGCACACTCATACATTTCGTTCAGTGGTCAGCTCTACAGGGACTACACTCGATGACGCAGCGATAGCTCCTATATTTACTCAATATATATGCAGACCGTTTCTCGGGCCATCTAAATTATCCAGCTCTCTCCTAGTAATACATGTGCGACGCTCACAAATGGTATCTCAAAATGTAGCTGTCCACCCTCCTTAAAGGCAGGCCTAGCCCGAATGATCAACAATCTCGTTGACAAGTTCACCCTTCTCCTCGTCATAGTACGAGCAGATCTGTGAAGGCAAGGGTACCTCCTTATAGTCTTCATCTGGCCCCGAGATGACGTTGACGTTGATGCCGGCCGACTTACTTGTAAACACCTTTGTAGACGTGCTTTCCTTGCTGAAGTAGATGGTGGCGCCATCAACTTGGTCGAGCATAACAGTTGGGATGACGCCCATGACCTGCAGGGCAAAATTCTGTGCCTTGACCACGTCGACAGTAGACACGAGTGACTCAACGACAAGTGAAAGCCGGTTCGAGTTCTCAATAGTCACTTGGTTTGCCTTGCCCTTGACGATGACCGTGGTGTTGTTACATCGGCTGATGAGAATCGAGTGTGTGAGAGTTGCGTCTATCTCAATTGGCTCAGGCTCCTTGTCGTAGTTTTCCTGCAGACAGAACAAAACATTAGCAAACAAACGAAATCATGCCAAACCACTACATCCACGTACAATTGTCCATTTGTTTCCTTCCAGCTCCTTCTTGGCCGGCTTCTTCACCCTCATACTCTCAGGTTTAGGCTTCTTGCCTGGGGCAGGGCTCTTTCCTCTGGAGGCACCTGAGCCATCAGAGACGGTAGACCCGGCACGAAGCGAGGGGTTCTTGTGCGTCATTTCAGACTTGTCAACCTTGCGAAGGCCCTTGGTGACCGACTCCCCCTTATTCAGCTCTGAAAAGACAGCCCCGAAGCCTCCAGATGCAGAAGAGGCAGCGGCCGGCGCAGGCTCCGTCTTGATGTCCAACACAGGAGGTGGACCTGGGGGAGGTGGCGGAGGAGGAGGTGCACCTCCCGTGGGGGGAGCGCTTGGCTTGGCGACGGACTTGGCGACCTCGGCGGCGGGCTGACCATTAGGGTTCCAGACGACGCCGTTGGCAAAGTGCTGCTTGATGAGTTCGGACAGGTCACGGAAGATTTGGTAAAAGGATTGGACCCATTCGACGTGTTTAGGCTCCCTGAGGGACGTTCCAATAACTTGTGTTAGCAGACAGTTCAATTACGGAGGTTGGAAGATTCCGACAAGGACCTACTTCTCCTTGAACTCTTTAGTAACCTTGTTGCCAAAGAATTGCGCTGATCCAAGCGTCTCATCAACATGCTTGAACGGGCGGTTCTCAACACCGACCCATCCGAGAAGCATGATTCCATCAGCAACAGCGCTAAGGTGGTTATAGGCAGGGTCGGCGCGATTCGTTTCCTTGATTTCCATGGCGGTCATGGCAGCCTCGTTGACGGGCTTGATCAGGTTCTGGAGTCCGGACACGTCAGGCTTCTTAGCCTTAGATGCGACGAGGAGGAAGGTTCGCTGCTCCTCAAAGCCCTTGAGGACGCTGGCAGCTTGCTTGGCAACGGTGCCGCCTAACTCGTTGCTCAGCTTGACATATCGATCCACGGATGTTGCCAGGAAGTTGTCAAAGTCTTCGATAGATTCGGGGAGGGGCTCATCGGCGGGTTTGGGAGCAGGCGGCGGCGGCGCGGGCGCATTGGCTGGGGATGGAGCAACATTGGATTTGGTCAGAGCTGGTAAGGCATCCTTTGGCAGCTCAGTGGATGTCGCAATGTCCTCGAGACGGGACGTGGCAGCCTCCAGTCTATTCAGGGGAGCAAGCACCCAGTCAGCAGCTGAAGCAGGGAAAGGTAGAAGGGGTGAGCTTAAGCCAAACAAGGGAGTTTATAGGTACCGTTTGATAAGGGTGGTCAAATTGTGCATGTGGTTTGGCGCCGCCATGGTCTTGTCTTGTCTAGCTGTATACCAGTCTCTCTATGAGTGATGTTGTTGGGAGAGGTAGAGCAATGAGATGGCGAGCTTGGATCGTTTCGTTGCTGAGCCGAGCCAGGTATGTCGTAGTGGTCTTAGTTAGGGGTACTTGGGTGGTACCTAGGCAACACGGGTACACCCAGCTACCTAGGAAGTGGTGAAGATTGATTCGAGGCGAGAGGACCAGGAACGACTTCGCGCGGCCATGAGCGGGATGTGGTTGGGAATGGCGCGGACATGAAAGCAAAAGCAAAGATGCAGCTGGGCATTGGAGCATCTCCTCTGATATGGAACTCTATTCCATCATGGTTTATGATGGTTGCAGGCCACCACATTCTGTCCATACTAGCAACCTAGGTACCTCCCGTACCTGCCTGCTTCTCTGGCGGTACCTTTCTGACTCGCGGGCAGTGGGTACAGTACCTTGTGCGGGTCTTGACCAGGTACCTACCTGTCACCTAATACTGGGTCGCAGGTAGAGTTAGGTGCTAGGACCTAGAGGGCTGGCCATGGACGTGCCAACTGCTGGCCTAGACTAGAGTCAATGGCAAAGATGTGATGGAAATGCATTCAAGGTTATTATTATTAAAGGTTGGGGCGAGTACTTACCTACCTTACTTGTACCTACCTTACCTAGGTAGGTGGCATGTACGTGCAACCACACTCGCAGCACGGAGCAGGCCTACTACCGAGACTGACAGCTGATCCATAGTGGGCACTTGTGTCACGGTGCCTGACCATCCATGATTCCATGTGTTGATACCCTACAGCTGCGCCAACGATCATTGCGTGTCCATCATGCAGGCAGGATAATGATCGTCTTGGACGGCCAACATGGCCTGGATCGGGGCTGGCTGTTGAATGTGTTGCTGCTCATGATTCCATAGCCCACACATGCATCCTGATTCCGATTGGTATTATCTCATCCACCACTAATGATATCTGACACACGCTCTCCCTGCCACCTTTTCTTGCTGTGCATCCGCCGTCGTCCGTGTGCCTGAAAGACGGTTTCCACTCGGAAACAGCCATCACCCACCGCTTGTTTTTTCTTCTCGCTCCTCATTGTGCATAGCAGAGATTGCTACAATACACGTCCTGATCCACCATCCGATCGCGGACCTCTGCATACTTACTTACACTGGTTTGGGAGGACGACCTTTGGATTTGCATGTATCAGCCCTATCTATGCTCATGTGCAGGGCAAAATTCTCATCATTTCACCTGCGCTATTCCGTATCACATCCAGATGGACAATGCACCACAACAAGACCAACCGCAGCAAGACTCCACCGGGTCCCTGGACGGGAAGCCCCAAGGGATCATTGTCCTGACTGAAAACCTCAAGAAGCCTGAGGCCCAAGATCAACAACCAGAGGCGGCGACCAATCCGACCCCGGAGCCCGCAAAGTTGGACCGCCCTGGCCAGGAAGAGAAAGAAGACGAAGCTACCAGTTCACCGGCGCCCTGTATCGACTTTGTCACCCTTGGAATGTTTATTATCGGTGAGCCAGCCGCCCATCCATCGCCCATTACCCACACACTCGATCCATCAAAGCCTCATCAGTTCCCAACGGTTCAGACCTGAACCAACGATGCCTTCCCACCCCACCCCGTAACCGGTAGGCTAACTCAAATACATTTTCTACCCTGCAAAGACGACATCGACTTTGCACCACCAAAGACTGCCGTCAAGGACATTCTCGGGGGGCTGGCTCATATTCGGCCCTGGGCGCCCGCCTTTTCTCGCCACCACCCAAGTCTTCTACTGTGGGTTGGATTGTTGACAAGGGCAATGATTTTCCGGCATCAGCGGCGGATATCATCGACAGCTGGGGCACATCGGTTGTCATCCGTGAGGACACTGAGCGCCTCACCACCCGAGGCTGGAATGGTTATGTTGGAACTTCGGAGCAGCGGTCCTTTAAATACATGACGGCTAAAAAGCGTCTCACGGCTGAGGACCTGACACCAAATCTCCTTCAGGCAAGGGCTTTCCATCTCATCTGCTCCCCCCTTCGTTGCCAGCAACTTGTCGCCGACATCTCAGCACGTCGCAAGGCAGCAAATCCCGACAACTACACTAGACCAATATACATTTGGGAGCCAGTGCCGGACCTCTGCACCCCAGACGAGTTACTTAACTGCACAAACACCTTGCCAGTTGTGGATATATGCAGCCCCAACCACTCCGAGCTTGCCGGATTCATGGGAGATGATGGCCTAGACCCGGAAACTGGTGAAATTTCCACAGTTTCCGTTGAGCGGGCCTGCGAACAACTGCTTGCTAGTATGCCCCTCCAGTCCTTCACGCTGGTAGTGCGTGTCGGGGAGAAAGGGTGCTACATAGCAAAGAACGGCGGGAGGAAGCGGCAACGTGACCCTGCATCCTCCACCAAGCGACGCAAGAAAAATTACGTCAGAGGTGGTCTACAGCCAGATACTGACATGGAGGCGCTCTTCGCTGGCCTCCTCCAGGACGACGATGGCCTGGTTGCCCGCGAAGAGATTGAAGTCGATCCCGGCATTGAACGGTGGCTTCCCGCCTACCATCAGAACGCATCCAAGGTCGTTGATCCGACAGGAGGTGGCAACACCTTTCTGGGCGGCTTGGCTGTAGCTCTGGCCAGAGGACATGGTGTTGAGGAGGCCGCCGCATGGGGCACGGTCGCGGCTAGCTTTGCTATTGAGCAAATTGGCGTCCCGATTTTGGAGGCAGGAGAGGAAAACAACGATGAGAAATGGAACGGAGAAAGTATCCAGGAGCGACTGAAGGGTTTTCAATCACGACTATGATTTACGCCTCAACGGTAACATATAATAGAGAGCTTATAGATATTGATTTTTTTGGGTATTGCTTTCCCCCTCCTCCGTCCTTTCTTGCTTGTTTCTTTTTGGGTGTTAATTCCTTTTGCTTTTTCTTCTTTTGAAAATGGGACAACAGGTTTAAACCCGTGAGATAGCTCACACCCCCTTGTATTAATGTCATTACTTATCATGTCCAACAATGCGTTCATATGTCTCATCCATCACAGAATCGTCACGAACCCTAGCAACAGAAGCTCCCCCAATGCCAATATTGCCAATAAATTTGTGACGATCACGTCTCCTGTTGCCCAAGGCGTACCGCGGGGCCAGCGATTCAGGGGATGCAAACCCTAATCATCACAGTTCGCGCTGCCACGTTCCCATCCTCGTTTAGATTTGGAAGACAATATCGTCATCGGATAACCTAAAAGACCAACTTGGTTAGACATGATTTCTAATTCAGACAACAATTTGGCACATACATTATATGGTTAGCTTCTGACAGCTTCTTCAATGCTTTCGTGGCTTCTCCACGATTGAAACGACCGCCGTCCCGGTTTCCAATCTTGGCGTTGACAGCATCAACAACAGCTTCGAGGGGGGCAGAGTCATCCTCGAACAAATTTGTGCCGAGGAGTTGTCCCAATGCCGTTCTAAATGTGGCTAACCGTGCGGAAGTAATTGGCTCTTCATCGTCATTGAGAGCAAGGTTGGATGCACCATCGACGAGTTGCTCGTCGTCCTGTGATCGTTCCGCAGCATCGGTTCCCGACGATGGTAACTGAGAGGCAGGCATGGATGAAGCAAATGATGTCTGAGACTGGGAATCCACGTTTGCTGACCTCGTGCTACGGGTGGATCGCCGTGGTGTGTTTTGACTTGAGATCACTCTGGGGCCCGTGGCGTCCACATCCGTTCCCACTTGATCAGCTTCGCCCACACCGTTGGTAGCTGTAGATGAAGCAGGTCCAAACTGCGAGCGTGTGGTGGCTCGGGTTGTGTGGGTTGACTGCCTAGCGCTGCGATTTGAACTGACCGGCTCGTTTTCACCCTCCTCGGCATCGGAGTCCTCATCGCTGGAAGAGGCAAAATCAACAGTGGCCTGTGTCCGCCTCCGCTTTTTACGTGAGTCCTCTACCACTTCCTTGAACAAGGCAAATCGGAGGATGCCCTCTGCAGCCAAAGCATCTCTTTCCTCCACCCTGTTAGATAATCGCGATTTCGCGTGAGCAGTAGCTAAACGAATTATCGTCTCCAAGGTTCTGACTGTCAAGGGGCTTGTTCGTCTTTGATTTCCCTCCATCTCATCGTTGCGCAGGCCGACATATATTTCGGCGATTCTTTCCGAAGCCTCTTGGGTTAGAACCGGCTTGATTCGAGTTTTGGCATACTGTATGTACTTCTTCATGAAGGCCATAGTCAAAACTTCCGTCTTTTTCTGCGAGCCTCGACCCGAGGTCACAGTAACACCAGCATGAAGCATTTCATTGTATTTCTCATACATTTCCGTTGGGCCCTGGGATTCGGATTGGAGATTCATTGACACACCCAAGGACTGAGAGCCCTGATCTCGCACCGGCGCGCCTTCTTCAGAACCGGCTACACGGTATTGGTGCATACGAAGCACATGCTCTGACACCTTGCGGTCCCGTGTGTCCTCAATGTCGTCTGTGACAACGAAGAGAAGGTCGAAACGAGACAAAAGAGAGTCTGGTAAGGCAATGTTCTTATGAGGGTCTTTGTGAGGGTCATACTGGCCAAAGATTGGATTTGCTGCTGCAACTACACTGCACCGGGCGTTGAGAGAGGTGTGTATGCCAGCTTTAGCGATGGTCACAGTTTGCTGTTCCATTACTTCGTGGATGGCAACACGGTCAATATCGGACATCTTGTCAAATTCGTCAATGCACACGACACCACGGTCTGCCATGACCATCGCACCCGCTTCAAGTCGCCTCTCACCAGTCTCCTTATCAGTAGTTACGGCTGCCGTTAAACCGACACCAGATGAACCGCGACCTGTAGTGGCAATAGCAAGCGGAGCAGTATTGAGAACAAACCTCAAAAGTTGACTCTTGGCTGTGGATGGATCGCCAACCATCAATATGTTGATGTCACCACGTAAGTGTGTCCCGTTTTCGAGATTCTTTTCCATGCCGCCT